ATACGACGTTTCGGGTTATTTTTTCGGAGTTCAGCTATCATTTCTGGCAAACAAACCGTGATATACCACTCAGCGGTAACCGTTCTGCGTTCCTGTGAAGGAATTGTAGCAACATGCCCCTTTTTCGAGACAAACGTAGCGACCATTTTCTTTGACACGCTGCGGGAGCGAACCACTTTCGTTGGTTTGACCTCGTCTTCGAAAACCCCAACTGCTGACTGATGTTTTCTTTCAGATTTGTATGAATAAATCCATGATTCGTCACCTGAGACGATATTATAAACGACATTTGACTTCCCTTTGTTGAAGCGTTGCAATGTATTCCGGCACCAATCTACACGAGCCGTCTTTTGCTCTTCGGATAAATTGTGGGGAACCCAGCAGGAAACTAGCTTTCTTACACACAGCTCATTATGTAATATCGACTGAATTGCAGTCATTCCGATACTGATAACAGCCTGAATCTGCTCGTATGTCACATGACGGTCATCTAATATAATAGTTTGCACAGCTGCGATGTTTTCAGGCGTGACCGCTGTTCTTGGTCGACCTGCAGAAGAAACAGTGCTGAGCGACACATGACCGTGTCGGAACTCGTCATACCAGCGGTATATTGTCGTTAGACTCGGTGCTTCAACATCATAAATCGAAACAAGTTCGCTGAGACATTTATCTTGAGATAAGCCGGGACGAAAATTGTGATAAATATGGCACGGAAATGTTTACGCGTGAGCTCCATTTCTGTGAACGACATGTCAACTTCAAACCAACCAGCTTTTGTTTTTAAACATTTTTTTAATTGTTTGAATGTCATTAAGATTCTAAGAGGCCAGTATTTAAATTCTAAAAAAGGTTTTCTCAATGTGAAATATTCTATTCCCGATCATTTCAGTGTGCCCCTCCGTATTAATCACGCCTACAAAACTTTGAAATAAAATCATAAAAAATCATTTACATTTGGGTACCTCCCATACAGGTAAATGGTGAACGATTTTTTACCCGTCTATCGGGTATTTATACCGTGTGGGTTATCGTTGAACAGGTCTTCCAAAAACACTGGGGGTATGGAAAAACATGTTTTCGATTCAGGGGCCGTTTTCAAAATATTTAGCTTTAAAGTAGTATTTTTCATTAGATTCATGTGTCTTCATCCTCTACTAACAAAACCGCTGTTTATGAAAATATAAAATGTATACACAACAGTAGTATATATAAGGAGGTTAAAAAGAAAACTATCACAACTAAGTTAGAATTAACAAGTTAACGAGTGATATCTATGTATATCTATGTATCTATATATATGATCGACCAACTTATAAAATGAAGTTGGATTAGTAAAAATATCGTTACAACTCCTTAGAAAATTACCTAAAACTAGCTGCATTATAACTGTGTAATGTTATTGTAAACCGTAAGAAATAAACATTTTATAGAGAAAACTACTTTTATGCATTACTATAGCTTAATTTTTGCCTATTCGGGATAGGTAAGGTAGATCTTTCTTATGTTTTATATTTTTTATATATATATATAAAAAATATAAAACATAAGGGGGATAAACGAGCATACGGCTCACCTGATGGTAAATGACTACCGCCGCCCATGAACAATTGCAACACCAGGGGAATTGCAGGTGCGCTGCAGGCCTTTTAGAAAGTATTTAGCTCTATTCTTTAAGTCCCTAAGTCGTATCGGTTCGGAAAAATCGCAGGTGGTAAACTATTCTACAGAGGTCATACGTGGAAGAAAAATCCTAGTGAAACGTACAGTGGTGGACCACCAAGCATCCAGATGTTGTGGATGGTATCGGGAGTTTTGCCGCGATATGACATTTGGCCGCTGGGATTAATCCGAACAATTCCTCAGAGCACTCTCCGTGGTAGATGCGATAGAAAATGCAAAAGGAATGTAACATCTCTTCGCAGCGCCAGTGTATCGAACCAATTGGACTGGACTCGGTCGTCAACAATTTAAGCTGTTCTGCGCTGGATGCGGTCAAGTTGAATGAGCTGGCACTGGGGAGCCCCAGCCCAGAGATGGGAACAGTATTCCATGTGAGGCCGACCCTGTGCCTTGTAAAGTTGCAGGCGGTGTGTCGGGATGAAATACTGTCCCACTCTGCTGAGCACGATAAGCTTTTTAGAGGCCAATTTGGCCTTCTCTTCCAAGTGAACACGAAACTGCACATCATTCGATATGTGGACACCGATTCCGATACACCCTGAGGCAACAAGGGGAGTGCCTTGAAACTGAGTAATAACGATAAAGGGGTTCTTTTTAGCGGTAAACGCGCAAACTTGTATCTACTGGGGATTAAACTAAACTAGATTTAGTTGCCCCTAATGCGAGAATTTGTTCAGGAAAGACTCGACTACAGACACAAGTTAGTTCCGGTACTCGGCGACTTTTTCCGAGAAATATTGGCACGGCCGGTGTATAGAGCATCACCAATGCTGTCATCCGCATAGCAATGAATGTTACCGGTTTGCAACATATCATTGATATGCAGAAGAAACAACTTTGGTGATAGCACGTAGATTTGTGGAACACCAGCATTAATGGGCTGGTAATCGGAGCATGCACCGTCTATTACGACGCAATAAATAAGCTCCTAGATATTTTGTAATTTTTAGTGTGGTTATTTTTAGCGTGTTTAGTGGCTATGGTGTTAATAATAGAAGTAATCTTAATAATTGCACATTTCACAGGTAATTTCTCAAGACGTCGTCAATGTTATGACGCGTTTATTTTTGGTAAAAATTTATGTTATATACTGTTTAAAATATAGAATGTTTTCAATTATTTTGGTGATTTTGATATTTTGAAAAGAAAAAAGTCACGTTGTTGACAATTTGCACGAATTTGGTTAATTAATTTTTATACAAAATATTTTAAACGTACGCTAGGGATTGACTCAAAATTCTGATATCTGATATCAAAATTCATGTCGATATTTATCTTGAATGTTTACATTAAATCGATAGACTTGCTCATACAACAAGAAAATAAATCATCGGTTTGCGTTCTATAAATGTAACTTTATTTTGCCTTTGTCAAATAGATTCCCTCCGGATTCTATAATTAGAAAAAATGGTTAAGGGTTGCTCACCTCTCAACGGCTACTCGCCGCCTGCACCCCTTTTCCCTAAAGGGAGTAGCTTCCAAGTCGGTAGAAAGGTCATACAGGCCAATGCCAGTCCCACAGGTGGTGCTTAGTTGGTAGGCACTTAGGTTTCGCAGTTAGTCCCACATAACCTTGCAGCCGGCTGCGTGGTATGCTTAATACGCATGCCATTTTCGGTATATACTTAAAGTATATACCGAAAATGGCATGCGTATTAAATAATAATATTAATATGTTTTTATGAAATACAAAACGGCATGCAGATAAAAAACACGGAAATGTTTCATATATTTTATGAAACTTTCATTATTATTTAAAATACGATCGTATTATTTAATATGCATGCCATTTTCGGTATATACTTAAAATAATATGTTTTTATGAAATACAAAACGGCATGCAAATAAAAAACGCGGAAATGTTTATTTAATTTTTGGCAACTTTTGTTATATAATGATCATGTGCAACATGCATGCCTTTTGTATTTCAGAATTATTTGGTCATAAAATTAATATTTATCTTTATTAGAAGTAGTTTGACATCACGGAAAATTTGTATTGAATTTTTACAACATTTTCCACCGTTGGTCATACGATGGGTACATGCCAATTTTCGTAGAGTATTTTTGAGATTAAAAAAAAAAATTTTTTACAACGGCATGCAATTTGTAAACACGGAAATGTTCTATTTTTTTTTTTCATTTCTACGTAACACTGAGCCCCATTGGCCGTTGCGAATTGCATGCCATCAATTATTATAGCTTAAATTTATTCCAACTACGTTATATTACAAAGGCATGCAATATTTAGCCAATTCCATTCCAAGCCATTTCCTTTATGACGTGCAAGCGCGCAAGGGCTCGTAACCCCTCTATCTTTCATAGTTTAGGGTTAGTTATCAATTCTTAAAAAGGCATGCAAGAGAAAATGGGAGACTATTTTCTGTCACCATCTCCCGATCTATTATTGCAGATTTTGATCGCGGAACTTGTTATTTTCACCAAAATAATTTACCTCAAAAAATTAGCCTGCTTTGCTTTAGAGGCTAACAGTTAGCTAATATTTTTTTCGACGCTTTTGAGCCGCCGTTACTCTATCTAGAGAGTAAATAATCTAAGTTTACATACATAAATTTCACAATATTTTTTTACATACATAAATCCAGACCCGGAACAAGTATTTACAGGCCATACAAATACTTGTACCGTGCAGGATTCGAACCCGCGGCCGTTTGTGCTACAACTTATTGCTAAGCCACTGCGTCACGGATCACTAGCTAACGCACACAATGACAAATCACAATTAGTCACGCGTTTTCGGGCTGTCAGTTCATATATACGCCAGTATGTTATATTAAGTCTATGATAGTGATGTATAAAAACATGTGTAAGATCATATATGTCATGTGAGTGATTTCTATTACATTATAGAAAAATTTTTAAAAAATCACGTTTTAAATTTACCATTCGACTAAAAGGCACAATAAGGCCGCCCACATACATACGGAATTCCAAAAAGGCACAATAAGGCCAGCCACATACATACGGAATTCCGTTTCGGGATTCCGTTTCGATATTCCGATTCGAGATTTCGAACGCAGCACGTTCATATAAAATCTATGACCCGTCACACACATACGGTAGTTTTCCGTTCGAAATTTTGCGGGCAAAACGGCCTTCCGTATGTGTGTGGCTGACCAATTCGGAATTCCGAAATGGAATCCCGAAACGGAATTCCGTATGTATGTAGCGGGCCTTAAATACAGCAAACCAGGCAGCACTGAGCCTGATTTACCTGACAATTATGGGCTAAAAATCTAGATACCAGGCCATAAACTCCAAAAAAAAACCTGACAATGACGTTTTAAGCTTTTAAGTATTGTTTTGAATTTTCGTTGTGTTGTTGTTGTGGTTTGATATTTTAGTATATACGATTACGATAGCATGTCTAAAAGTATATACTTTATACTGTTACGTCATAATGAGTAATATTATGCTTGGGTTTGATAAGAAATCATTAAAATACTATCATTTTGAACTCTTACATAGTACAATATAATAGCTCTCACTGTACATATTATTAGTCATTACATATCACTATTTCAATTCACAATTTCTTTCTAATAATAAAAATGTTGCAAATTAATAACAAAAGCGTAGGTGAGTTTTAATTTTAATTCTAAACTAAGTAAATAATGAAATGTGGCCAAGAAATGTGATTTATTACGGTTGAGATGTTGAATATGACAAGATAAACTGAAATTCCATAGATTAGTATTATATTATTATATACAAGGGAAATTCACTCGCATTATCATTTTTCGTCGCTTTGGTAGTGAAGAGAGTCAACCCACACTTAACAAGTTTTGAGATAATGAGCATTTAAGATGTGATACTACACAAAAAATAATAATTAGTCCATAACTTTAAAACTATTGGACAGATAAAATAATTTGGCAGATAGATCTCTTCACCATTGTATAAATATTATATTCTTTTGATTATGCTAGAGTATTAAACTCAATTTGAACAAAGTTGTGGCTTGATTCTCTTAATCACCAAAGCAGTATTTTGTTGTAACATAATATTTTATTTTGATACTTTTGCTCACATATGATATAATAAGTAACCTTAATTTTAGACTAACTTGCTCTAAACAATGTATAATAAAAAAAAATCAGTCAAGGAACTTGTTTAAAAGTTTGGTCATGAAAGAATGAGGTGAGATCTCCCGCAGACAAGGTTTTCAGCTACAAGGTAGCCAGCACTCTGTGGAACAGCTAGAAGCTTGTTCTATATATTGCAGAGTGGTTTGGAAACCTTGATAGTTTAATTTAGGCCTCAGTTCATATAAGCTTGTGGTGCGACTTGTCACCACATTATCCCTGCTCAGACCACATGTGCAGAGGTTGATGGCATAATCCATGTGTTAACAAAAATGCAATTGTTAGGGTTTGCCTTGTAGTCTGCTGTGACTTGTGAAGAAATCTAGTAATTCTAGAAAGTTCCGTGTAACAAAGGGGAGCATTAAAAGGGGAGTAGCGGAAAGAAACTGGAGGTATTCCAATACTAAAATGAACCTTACAAAGCTAAGACTGGCTTGGAGTTGTGTATTGAAGATGTTGTTTGCTCAGGAGAGAATGGGAGGGGTTTTAGAGGATGATGACTATAAGCTTTAAGTTTTTTGGTTGATTGAGTTTGATTGAGTTGAGCTGATGTCTACAACTCCATGTCTAAGTCTATGTTATGCATGTGGGGAGGAAATAAAAGTTGCAACTTGCATGCATCATGTTGGTGTTACCACTTTATTTAAAATGTTACTTAACTGATGTCATGCTATTGTTATTTTGTGTCGGTTGTATGGGAATTAGTGGTTTAAGACATTTATTTTCTCAAAACATTTACAAACCATTTGCAGAGAAAATAAAAAATTAAACACTAACATACCTTATGCAGTTGTATAGCTTATGAGATATCCTTACAGTAGTTTATTAAAATAATAGAGAAAGATATCATTTAAGTTCCTTGGATTCAATTACAAATTTATCTTTTACATAAATACTTTAGTACAAGTACTACATTAATTCTATTGCATTTTGTTTTATTTTATGATGATAATTTTCAGTTTTATTTTTTATATATTTGGAATATTTATTTTCCAGACAAAACCAACCTTCAGTGCCTTGGTATTTTGAAAAATATTTATGTAGACAAAAACACATTGGAATCTCAAATAGAAATAATATTAAAAACCCATCCTGTTATATCCAAAGAACATTTAAATGCATGGCTATTGAAAACTATATCTTTAATAGATTTGACCACACTCTCTGGAGATGACACAAGGTCTAATGTGGTCAGGTTATGTCTAAAGGTTTGTATAGATTTTATTCTTAAAATACTATTTTTTTCAATTTGTGTAAATTACAGTTTCATAAACCTTCCTATTTTTATAGTTGATAAAGTTTATATTTAAGATTAAATCTAGCTGTAAGCCCTTGCTTTTTTACATTATTCATGCAAAATTTGTTTCTTTTCCTCTTCAGATTTCTGTTCTGTTTAATAACTGTTTCTATGATATCAGAAGTATTATTATTTAGGTAAATTATTTACTAGCCTTATGAATGGTGTAGAAGGTTTTATTTTTACAGTAAGCATATTTTTTGAATTATTATTTTTTAAGGAATAAACTTCTACTAAGTCACTACATAAAATAATCAGATATTGATAAACAGGGTTAGATCTTATAAGTTAAATTAGCACCAGTAAGAGTGAAGTTGCAATATATATAAGGCCTCTATAAAACATGTAGGCAAAAACGGATTTAGGAGGCTTATGGATGCAGCATGAAGGAGAAAGGAATGGCACAGTGAAGAAAAAAAAATGATAAGTTAAAAAATTTAGTATTAGAAATGAAAACAAGAATTGTAAATATCAATTTGCGTTAAAAGTAACTGTGAATTGTTTTTTCACGGTAGTACTAGCACAATTTAGTTACCTTACAATTGTAAAACAACTTTGATGTAAGGCGGTGTCACAGCCAGCATAGGTATTTACGCAGCCAGCACGTATGCCAGGGGTTGTCTCAAAAATGGAAATAAAATTATTTTGGATATTATAATACTCATTATCATCTATTAATATTATGTATATACTTATATTATTGAATTGAATAAACGGGCTGTTTTCTGCAACTATTAATCATGGCTCGAATAATTTATTTATTCCATGATATAGCCATGATATCTCCCCGAAGAAGTTCAACAGTCCTTTGATGTTGCAAGCAACTTCGGGGAGTGATCCCGGCGTGCCGAGATGTTTAGCCCCATATACAGTGACTTCCTGTCATGTCAGCAACACGTGGATCGCCGTTTCTTTCTCCCACATACATGCCCTGCACAGGGGACTGTCTGCAACACCTATGGTAAATAAATGTTTGTTAAAGTTACCATGTCCTGTGATAGCACTTATACGTTACTATCCTGATCTGCGGCTTGTTCAGTCTCATTAGAACCTTGGTTGGTTTATTTCAGGCAGGGCCTCCCTAGCTTGTCTATTGTCTACTAGATATTTTCAAAGTTGAGCGTGTTGATTAGTGTACTGTCTACATACCAGTGAACGAACATTACCAAAGGGGATTGGTATGATTGGTTCCGGCCCTATAGTGGCCAGAGCCAATCCTCTTCGGGCCAGTTCGTCTGCTACATCGTTGCCTCTGGATCCACTGTATCCCTTTATCCATTGCAGAGTCACATTGTTGTGTTTACATACCTTATTTAATTATTATTGGCATTCATATATTAGTCCTGAACTCACCACATTACAGCTCAGGGCTTGTAGTACCACCCTACTATCGGTCAGTATTCTGATGGAGAAGTCATTAACCTTTCTAACATCTATTGCTATAGCCGCTTGAATGATACCCATACATCCCACCTGAAAGACTGTGTTGTAGGTACCCAGCGGTGTGCATATGTGGATATTGAGGTCTTCAGAAAAAGTTCCAGATCCTACACCTTCATTTGTTTTAGAACCATCGGTGAAGAATAAACTTTTTTGGGCTTAATCCGTCCAGCTGGCTGGTTTCATTTAATTGTATCTTATACTTCTTATCGAAAACAAATTGTTTATGGATCTTATCGTATTTGGCTTGTAAGATAGGAATTTTTGAGTGAATTCTATCAATTATGCCTGTATGAGGGACTCTATTCTTACTCCAAAGATTTAGGGTCTTGAGTCTAATGGCAGCTATCGTCACTTCTTGTTGTATTTGTAGATGAAGCGGGGTTAGCTCGAGCATCGCTTCTAAGGCTGCTGTTGGCGTAGTTCTTATGCAGCCTGTGGCAGCCATACATGCCAGTCTCTGGTAACGTTGAAGTTTCTTTATGGTGGTGGCTTCATTTGTTTTGGTCCACCATACCAGAGCGCCATATGTGATCATGGGCCGAATTGTATAGCCACAGTATGATTTTTGGCATCATACCCCATCTTTTGCCAATCATGTTTCTACATTGCCAGAAAGTTATACTAGCTTTGTTGATTTTGTTTTAGGACTTAAATATTTTACCTTGGAGGATAGCTGTAGTTTTGAGCTGAAAAGACTTGGGAGATGATAGTTATTCAGCACTCGTTTTTTGTGTGAACATTACCAGAACCGTTTTATTTGGATTTAAGGTTAAGTCGTATTCCCTCCACCATCTCTCCACTATACGGAGAACCACTTTGGTCAGGTCGCACACCATGCTTGCTGTCTTTCCAGATATTCGTATTGTCAGGTCATCAGCATAACCTACTGTGTAGAAATGATTGGCATTTAATTTGCTGATGAGTTCATTTATCGCCATACTCCACAGGAGAGGTGAAAAAACCCCACCCTGTGGGCAGCTTTTCTTAATCTGGATTGTTTGAGATTCACCAGCAATCTTTATTGTTCGTGTACTGAGCGTGTTTACTGTCCAGTCAATCAGTGCCGTTTCAACTTTATGTCTACTGAGTGGACATTTTATGTTGGAGAAGTTCGTTCTGTCCTGAAAAGCACCTTCTATATCTATGAAGAAACTTAGTTATATTACTGTTTTGGATGGCCTCTTAAATCTTTGTTATTACCTGATGAAGTGCCGATTCTTTCGATTTACCTAAGCTGTAGGCATGTTTGTCGTATAGCGGTAAGTTCATTAGCGCCGACCCCCTTAATTCCCTTTCACGAAACATCTTTCCTCTCCATCGTCTTTAGGAGAAAGTATGTGAGACTAATGGGTCTGTATCTGTCACTCTCACGGCTTTCTCTCTCTGCTTCCTGTTCTTCTTTACCCTATTTCCGCTCCCTGGCCGGATAGATCCACTTGATGGTCCGTCGGGTCGGCTAGTCAGATTATGGGTCCTTGCCTTTCCCTTTACGGTTCACCAATTGCCAGACAGCTGAGAAGAGGTCCTCCGTTCTAAGGGGCTCCTCAGAAGTATTTCTACTCGCGGTCCCTTGTTCCCTATCCATTTCTAGCTCCGAGGAACTGGTTTTAGGAGCCTCCAGCGCGGAAGTTCCCTTGAAAGGGCCACCTACGCTGGATGATGATGGATGCTCTGAGGAGTCTCCATTTTCTCCTTGAGTGTTGGTGCCTCTGTTACTCACCTCTGACACCTCTTCTTCTTTTCTTTTGGGCCTTAAGTCGTCCATTATCAATTTAGTTTGAAGATTCGTCCCCCCCCCCCCTCCATGGAGCCCGCACCTTTTGGGAACACCCTACTTTAAAACAAAAGGAATTTCAGGATTACCGGGGGAATATAGGGTCGGGAAGTTGGCTCACAGAGCGACATCGGCAGCTCAATCCAGTTGGCAGACAGGGCTGAAAAGGCCCATCCCGCAACTTGAAGGACTGTTACTTGCTCCGTCAGCATAGCCTTTACCACCACCTAGCCCTTTTCAGGCACCTAGGCAGCACCCACATCCCTCGCCTGCGACCCTATGACGGGGCGCTTGGCCATTTCCCTACCTGTGGCTAGCACATAGGGTCACAGTTTAGCTTGAAATCTGGACCAAAGAGGGCGTGTTGCCTCTCGCCACTATATACCCCAGTGACGATTGGCTCAACCGTGCAGGACTCCTTCATCCCCGCGTACGGCACTCGACTGCGCAGGTCCTAGTGCAGGTGGGTGTGTTATTCCACCGGATACACCCACTCTCTCCGGCGGAACCACCCCACCTCCTTTCTCATCCGGGCTTGGGACCGCTATGGCGGAGTTTATATATATTTATAAGTTATAAACATTTATCTAACAAGATCATTTTTCATTACTGCACGAAAAACACATTTACAAGTGTTGCACTGCCAAATATTTTCATAACACATTTATTTTTTATAGACGTTTTCGGTTTTCGATTGTTAAATTTAATTATGTAGTGTATTTGCATTCGGATAAACAATTTTATCAAATAAAAAAGAGGGAAACATAAGCATGACCGTCATTTGATTTCAATCTTACTTAGTAATTCATATTACTACAGAAATTTACCATTATAGATATTATATTTGTAGAAATTAATAACTCGAGATAGAAAATATATAACAACATTTATAGATCGGTAAAGCATTACAAACTGACACATTCCGTAACGTCATGAATACCAAAATGGAACTACTTAAATGTTTCGTTTAGGGACTTTATCAAGAATTATTTATGTTTACTATTTCAACAACCACCGTTAAACAGAAATCAACCTCATCTTGAAAGCACAATAAGCCAGTTTTAGGTATGGTGTTCCTTTGGTAAGGGCATCAGCTACCATCACATCCGTCTGTATACTCTGAACATCAATGGTCCTTTGAACAATTTTATCCTCACTTTTTGTCTCACATCTATATGAATAGTCCTAGAATGATAGCCATCGCAACCTGAAAGTTTGATAGAACTTTGATTATCGCTGTATATAATCATTGTCTCATTCTTCAGTAAAGGTCAAATGCTTCTTGAAGTAGCTTCAGCCACATAGTCTCCTGTACACAAGATGACAAAGACATATACTCTACTGCGATTGTCAATAGAGCAACAGTATGCTGGTGTTTAGAGTTCGAACTGATTGCTCCTCCCTGAAGCAAGAACGTCTAACTAGTGAAGGAATGTCGGTCATCATCAATCATCTTAAATCTTACTCTTGGTACTGGTGCAAAATACTTCTGTATAATCTATCCCAGTTATTTGTGAACAACCCTTAATTAAAAGCCGAGCCTTATATTTCACTATTTCTTTTTCTTAAAAACCCATTTGCATGATATGGGACGTTTATTGTCTGGAAGAGTAGTAATTTCCCAAGTATTATTTTCTAATATAGATTGATACTCCACATCAATTCCTGTTTTCCAATACTCAGCATCAGAGCCCGACAAAGCTTCTTCAACAGTAAGTGGATCTGAGATCTGTTGAACACACATGAAATTATTATGTCTCTGATGAGATCTTAAATACTTGAGATTTTTATACGTATGAGCCATGCTGCGGCTATATTAGTATTATAGTTGTAGCACGAATAAGTCGGCTCGACCGGGGAAGGACCACGCTCTCACAGAATACCAGCGTAAAATAGCAGCTTAACACTGCTGTGTTTCGTATGGTAAATGTAGAGAACAGGAGACCCTTTTTACTGGAAAAGAGGCGTTCTATCATAGTCCTCACCGGTGACTACGCATCTGCATTTTGAGTCTTTATTGAAGATAAATGTAGATGTCTATGGGTCACAGTAACCACTTGATACAGGTGGACTGTGTGCTCGTTTGTCACCCTATCCTATAAAAAAGAAAAAGTAATTTTTCTTGTGAAAATATCAATGCTGGTATCATTATTTGAACTAGGATAATAAGTTTCATCATCAGTCATTCTATTAAGCCCACAACTATCAAAATATGTGTCATTTCTCGAGTTTGAATACTCAGCTTGGATCTCACTCTGTGATCTATCACCATCAGATATTAGTTCTCTTGATTTACGATCCCATTTTAAGCGATTTTGTTTAAGAATATACCATTGCCTTAGAACCAAAAATCTTTAAATTTGAAAGATTTGGTATCTTACCAGTCCACTTTTCATAGGGAGTTAACTCTGCTAAAACCCGCGAAGGTGATCGGTTGACAACAGGCAGCAGTAGTGACTGCTTCTGCACACAACAGCTTTGCTTCAAATAACATGGTTTTTCCACATTCTACCAATGTCCGGTTCATCCGCTCTGCTAGACCGTTTTGCTCAGGCATATATGGAGTACTGGTGTGATGTTTGATGGCAGAAGCTGCTAGAAAATCAGAAAATACTTTATTACAATATTCTTTTCGGTTATCGCTACTTACAATTTTTATTTTCTTTTCTAATTCATTTTCTACTTCTTTAAAGTTTTGAAATGATTTAATATCCATTTTCTTCTGGAGAAAATAAACATAAACTTTACGAGAATAGTCATTTATGAAGGTTATGAAGTACTTCGCACCACCAGCAGATAGTGACTCCATCGGACCACACAGATGAGTATGTACTATTTCTAGTAATGCTTTTGCTCTCGAAACAGAATGTGGAAACGATAATCGTGTTTGTTTCGCTTCACAACATGCTATACACACAGTATCAACATTTTTGTTACAGTCAGGTCTGGCATCTTTACCAATGGATGTTAACTTTGTCATCAGGGGTGCACTAGTACAAAATTATGATTAAAACGGAAAACGTAACGTTTTTCGAGATAAGCCATGTTTTGGAAGAACATACAATAACTAATTGACAGAATTGCTTATTTTTATGAAATTTTAATTGTGCCGGCAAAATAGCCTCTTTGGTCAGTGCTCCAGAACTTTAGTTTTTTTTGTTTGAAATACTGAATTTAGGTATCTATATATTTGTAGTAACGGCATTTTTTTTATTATTATATTTTTTTTATTTTTTATTATATATTTAATTTGTAAGTAATTTGTATGCAGTACTCATTAATTCGTTTACGTATTCCTCGACATTTGAACAAATATCCAGGGATGTATTTATTAAATCCCGCAATAAGCCGACCCTTCTTGATAGCCCGGTCTCCTCGAACACATTTTGTAGATTCGTCCATACTTCCTTCGACGCTTGTGCATTTTCAATAAGGACGAAGTTTATAGGTTCGAGTTCGACCAACAAAATGATTTTGGACTTTGCTTATACATCTTTTTGAGTTCTACTTTGGTGCCAGGATCGACACATTCCCACAAATCCTCGTGTTATAGATAGGATTTTACGTAGAATAATTAGCCCGACCGGCTAATTTCTCAATTTGTAAATTAGACGTGACCATTTTTTCAGAATGATGCTCCGATGAAATACTCGCAAATTACTTATTCTTAACAATTGACCGATACTTTATAACAATAAATATAACATTTTCTATCTATTTAGGTATATGGACTGTATCTGGACCCATAACCTGTAGAAATTAATAACTCGGTAAAGCATTACAAACTGACTAAAAAAGGAATCACATTCCGTAACGTCATAAATACAAAAATGGAACTACTTAAATGTTTCGTTGAGGGACTTTACCAAGAAATATTTTATGTTTACTATTTCAACAATATTTTTCGAAAAGGGCACTTAAAATTAATTAAATAAGTACTATAAAACACACAACCGCATGTATCGTCTATCGGATTGAGTGAAGTGCGCTAGTACAAGGTCGACCGTCGCAGTGCCCCCATCGTTGCTCTGCATACACATTCTTACACAGTACATTTGTTTACCATTTGTGAGGTCTTTAAACTGTGGTACTAAGTACTACTCAAATTCAATAATAAATGAATTTACTTTATAAAAAATTAACTATTGTCTTGTTCTAGGCTGCAAATCCTATATCAACCTCTATTTTAAAAAGACTGAAACTCAATGATGAGAATAAAATCAGGACAGCAGCAGTTTGTGTATATCCAACGAGAGTAGCAGATGCCCGTGACATAATTATGAAGATGGGACTGACGGATACTATAAAAATTGCTTCTGGTAAAGATATCGTACTTCTTATTTATATTTTTTTCTAAAATAAATTTTCTTATTTAATGTAGCATTACAAATCAAATTGTAACTTTTATACAATTCTCTTTTTATTACTGCGTACATATTGTATATAATTTAGGATTAGAGTTTGCTTACTTGCAAAAATTTTAAGTATTATGTGCTAACTTTTATGGATTTCGTTACTATTTGATCACGTGGGGATATGCTTGACATCCTGATTTTAATCAATAATTTTTGTCTGATCTACGCAAGAAAACTCACAGGAAGATGGATTGATGAACACCGTAACTTTTGAAAATATCAATTAACTCAATCTATTTTTTAATCTCTTCATCTATCATGTGGGAAGCCATGGAATGTAAATGGCAGTTTAATATTGTTTCGTTTAGTTATAATTAATTTTTTTCGGCTGCGAAATAGCGAAATTTTCGGTTTTTTGAGCAGCCTTGTGTTAATTTATTTCACTAAATACACTTTGCCTCACTCCCGGCCACAGAGTAATTTTTTACTCCGGGCTCAGCTGCCGTTGTGGGTGGTCGTTTGTTTACAACAGTTCGTGCTGAAAAATATCGATCGCTTTAGAAATACAGACACACAGACCTTACCCTGACTTGGTGTATTTCGGTGAATGCTACTGGAACTCCTCTAAAAGTAGTAATAGTAATAGGTGTGCTGAGTTCGGGTTCGTTTTGTTAGTTATGATGATACCTTACTTCCGTACATTGGCGGATTATCCTTAAGGCAAACTAGGCACGTGCCTAGGGCCGCAAGGTTAAAAAGACGCTTGCGGAAGTTTTAAACGAAAAAGAGATCGTCTTATTTCATTACTCCTAGATCACTCTTACTCTCTCATCACATTTTTCATTTATTAATGGTACCTTGTTAATGGTACTCGTATCCTAATTATTTTGCGATTATTAAACTATATTATAAATTATAATATAGTTTATTTGCAAAATGAGTAGATTTAATTTATAATAAAAGGACGCAGATGAGGTGCTAGACTAGCATAGGGCGCAGTCGACATTTAATCCGCCTCCACCTCCGGACTTGATAGAGTGAACTGAAAGTGTACTTTGATGAATGCTACAGGAACTCCTTGAAAAGTAGAACTAGGTGTGCCGACTTTGGCCTCGTTTCGTTAGTTATGATGAGACCTCACCTCCGGACTTGAAAGAGTGATCTGAAGGTGGACTTCGATGGCTGCTACTGGAACTTCTCGACGAGTTGTAATAGGTGTGCCGATTTTACGCTCGTTTTATTAGTTATGAATAGACCTTACCTCCGGACTTGACGGAATGACTTGAAAGTGTAATTCGGTAACTGCTACTGGAACTGTTTGACGAATAGAACTAAATTTACATTTTTTTTTCACTATCATATGAGCATTATGAGTCGTGCACTTTTGGATTTTTCAAACTTTTTTTTAATTAAAGTTTGACATAAATATATCGGAAAATTGGAATTATAGTAATAAGGTTATTAGTGAAAACTTGTGGGTATTTAAACTACTTTAAAAGTTTATGTATAATCATGTTATACGTAATTTTTTTATGCGCTTAAGGCATGTACAATTGGATTTACCAATAGTTTTTTATGTTTGAGAAAAAAGAAAAAGGGAAATACAACCATCTAATTGGTGTGGTCCGCATAAAGACTGCATAAATCGACAGAATTACCCGAAATTATTAAGCCGTAACATAGGATCCGTATCCACGATAGGCATAAAGTGCGGTCTCTATGTTAGCCACTCGTCTTAAACGATATAGAACAAAGACAAATCTGTCTAACTTTCTACATAGACTATCAATATGTGTCTTCCAATTACAGAACTTGTCTATTGTTACACCTGAAAAGTTGGTATGATCAACTTCTTCGATGACGTTTTTCTCATATTTGGTTTTAAGTGATGCTTGTTTACTAGTACTGAATGTAAGCTTAATGAAAGAAAATTTTTCGAATAATTATTTACTTAATTTTAAAAAAAAATTGCTTCACTTTTCCAATAATATGATGATAACATTATTTTATTTTTTCCTATTTATGTTTGTAGTTGCTACTGGATTTCCATCTGGATTATACCCACTAGAATCCAGACTCCAGGAAATTAAATTTGCTGTTGAAAATGGTGCTACGGAGATTGATGTAGTACTTGACCGTAGCTTAGTTCTGATGGGAAAATGGGAGACACTCTTTAATGAAGTGGTACAAATGCGAAAAGCATGTGGCAAAGTGCACTTGAAAGTGATTTTAGGAGTTGGCGAACTTGGATCATATGAAAACGTACGTCTTAAAAAAATTAAATAGCATACAAACGTCCCACCTCTGGTGCCTTAATGCGTGTTGGTGAACTTTACGTGTCTTCGAAATATTTTTATTTTCTTAAACATGCTCATTTCCTTACAATCGAATTTTTACGAATGCATTACCGGAGAGCATGTGGTAATTCAGTACTTAAAATTTCATTTTCTTTGGCGCCGATGGGGATTGAAACAGGTCCTTGCGTATTATGAATTTTAAGGCGAGTGCTTATCCCCTGAACTATGACGGCACATAGCTTAATTTTTTGATTATATTTTGGACATTTCTTGGTACTCATGTTTATAATAGTTTCAAACATCATAAATATCATAGTAACAGAGAGTGTAAAACAAAATAAGTACACAAATGAAACGAAGTTGTTAATCTTTTTTAATCATTCATTATAATTTAATTTCTGAAGTGAATGTGTTTAGTTGTATTTTTATAAAAATTATTATAATCCTATTTTACAAAAAAATATTTGCTAGTTAGTAGTTGATAGTTTAGATTAATATGTAATTCAAAATATTATGCCGCACAAAATAATAAAGCTAATAACAAGTAACCCGCAACGGCTACGATGAAAAATGTCTCACCGTTTGTAATTATATCAGCCCCTTCAAATCGGTACACAACAGTGTATGCACTGCTTCTATTATAACATTTATAAAGTATGTTTGAAATATCAATAAAAATAACTTAAATATTATTTATTTATGTAGGTGTACAAAGCTTCCATGGTGTCCATGATGGCGGGAGCTGATTTCATAAAAACTTCAACTGGAAAGGAAGCAGTCAACGCAACTTTACCGGTTGGTTTAGTGATGTGCAGAGCTATACGTAACTTCTACCTAACGACGGGAGTAAAGGTATTTATCATACATATATGTATATCGTCATCATTACATCCCTCCACAAGTCCACTGCTGAACATAGGCCTCCCCAAAGGAATGCCACAAAGCACGGTCCTGAGCCACCTGCATCCATCGACTTCCAGCATATCTTACCAGGTCGTCACTCCATCTAGTGGGGTGATGCCCTACACTTCGTCCGCCGGTACGAGGCCACCACTCGAGGACCTTTCTTCCCCATCGGTTCTCGGTTCTTCGAGCTATATGGCCGGCCCACTGCCACTTCAGCTTACTAATCCGTTGTTGCTATGTCGGTCACTCTGGTTCTACTGCGGATATCCTCATTTCTAAGTTTATCACGCAGAGAAACCTCGAGCATAGCCCTCTCCATAGCTCGCTGAGCGACTGAGCGTCCTCATACGGCCAGCAATGAAGGACCACGTCTCAGATCCATATGTCATCACTGGCAACACGCACTGGTTTTACAATTTCGTTTTCAGGTTTTGAGATTTACCTGACGAGAAGATGTGTCGTAATTTCCCGAACGCTGCCCAGCCGAGTTGAATCTGTCGATTGACCTCTCATCCCGCGCAACTGCATTTTGATTCTTAATTGAGAATAAATGTAGATGTCTATGGGCCACAGCATCCACTTACCATCAGGTGGACTGTGTGCTCGTTTGTCACCTATACCACAATAGAAACTAGCAAAGAATAAAAAGAAACTATTGTATATTTTTTTCTTAACAGGTTGGCTTGAAGCCAGCTGGGGGAATTAAAACAGCTGAAGACGCCGTCAACTGGCTCGTTTTGGTGCACAGTGAGCTGGGTGCAGAGTGGCTTCGACCGGAGCTATTCCGCATTGGCGCCTCAAGTTTACTCGACGTAATCGAGAAGCATTTAGACAAAAATGTTCAAAGCTAAAACACACCTGAAACTATGCATCCTGTTTTTCTATATCTGTTTTAATATTTTAGTCCTAAGATGAAAATTAAGTTTAATTGTATGCAAAAAATATGTTTTAATAAACGAATTTTATTTGTAAATGCTGTTTTTTTTATAAAGCGAGTAATACCGAGCTAAGTATTAATAAGGATGTAGGATTATTAATAATAAACGAATGGAACCTCACCTACCCGCGGTCACTACGCTATCATCGAACCAGACTGGCAGTATATCCATTGGAAAACGACGAACCAAAATTAAATCCCACAGACTAGTGATAGGGAGCAGCTTTACCGTTGCAAGGTGTCGGTGGTGCTCTCACCAACCCACACTTGCCCAGGAGGCTGCAATATTTTCAAGGTGTGCATGATTATTAACGCATTCTTAAAAAGCCTTATATCCAGCAATAGGTAAAAACCGTAAAAATTAACCTACTTTCTAAGATTCGATAACCGAAATATAAAAGTAAATAATTTAAAATTTTGTACAACCGAATTCAATATAAATTATTAAGAATAACTCAAAAACTATTGGTCAGACCTTGATCAAATTTATATGGGAACACATGAGAAGCACCAGCTTTCAAATAAAGAAAAAAGAATTATCGAAATCGGTTCACCCAGAAAAAATTGTGAGGTAACACACATAAAAAAACATACAGTCGAATTGAGTACCGCCTCCTTCTTGAAGTCGGTAGAAAAACTGATACATCCTACTACTGGGCACAGGGCACAGGCCTCTTACTTCTGAGAGAGTAGTTATAAAGCAATTATCTCGCCATGTTCCAGTTGGCGGACTTTACATATCAGCGGTGGTTACAATGCGTACGATGATAGAACGATTAAATAAGTTATTATTTATTATTATTATTATTATTACTAGCCTAAAATGTCCCACTGCAGGGCAAAGGCCTCCCTACTCTCTTTCCACTTCTCTTTCTCCAGAGCCACCATAGACCAGTCCTTCATGAAGGAGTCTAGTTCATTCCGCCATCTCCGCCTTGGTCCGCCCCGCTGACGTTTGCCTTTTATAGGAGCTCATTGAGTTGTCACTTTTGCCCATTGTTCATTTGGCATTCGGCATATGTGTCCAGCCCAGTCCCATTTAAGGAGGATTAATTTGTCCAAACCCTTACTCTCTTATGATTAAATAAGTGCAATTTAAAAAAACACGTTTTTTAATATATTTCCTGTATTGTCATCCGAATTGGAGCTTTTTTTTTATAGGATAGGGTGACAAACGAGCACACAGTCCACCTGATGGTAAGTGGTTGCTGTGGCCCATAGACATCTACATTTATTCTCGTTTGAGAATCAAAATGCAGATGCGTTGTCACCCGTGAGGACTAAGGTAGAATGCCTCTTTTCCAGTAAAAAGGGTCTCCGGTTCTCTACACTAACCATACGAAACACAGCAGCATGAAGCTGCTATTTGACGCTGGTATTCTGTGAGAGCCTGGTCCTTCCCCGGTCGAGCCGACCCATTCGTGCTACAACTATACTACTAATATAGCTGCAGCATAGCTCTACCACGTAAATAGCTATATTTAAAATTACAAGTTTCCAGCTCATCGGGAAGTTAGTTTAAAAAAAAAACTTAAATTCAACCCGGAACGACAGACAAATAAGAGAGTGCCTTGATATCTTTATGGAATAATCAAGATTTAGAAGGCCAATTAAACCAGAGAAAAGACTTGTATGATTTATGTATGTTAGTATGTTAGAAGTAAGTATTTTTATTGATAATTAAGTAATCAGATATAATTGCGTTGTTGAATTAAAATTAACTATAATTTGTTATTGTATTTAAATAATTTATCACTATATATTCATAGTGATAATCGACGCAAAGAATTCAAATTATTTATAACTAATTACTTAAAAGAACGAAAGTATTCATTAAATGTTATAAAAATTCAAAAATAATCACGTGAGTTCAAAACGCGCTATAAGTGGCTGCCATATTTGTGACGTCATTATATTAAAGCCTGAAGGGAAGTAATAATATATTTCGCAACGAAAGTCGAAACCACCAATTTTAGTGGAAAATCCACTAAGTTGGCAACATTAGGCAACACTGAGTATCCGTACGCGTCGCGTTATATGACATCATCAGCATGCCACCTTCAATATTCGGATATCTACCGCTACCGCATTATCGGTGTAATGTGCGAGGCTTCATATAATTTGTTACAACGAATTCCAAATTCCAATCCAATTTGTTACGCGGCACGCAGTGTGACCATCTTTAAAATACAGATCCTGCCTTTGCTCAAAAATCTGCCAAATCCTGCCAAAGTATGTAGTGAAAAATGCCTAAATACTGCCAACTTTATTTACCATTGTATTAAACTAAGAAAAGTAAAAATACTCATTTAAATGCTATATAATGCAGGTGCCATGCTCACGAATGCCTTGTTTAACGTGCAAGGTAGACGCTACATGTTTCTTTATAAATCTGTTTCGTGTTTTTGTCTTAATTAAATTTATTTGAGAGAATATTCTTTCGCATGCTGAATCCACTCTTATTTTTTTAATGTTTACTAGTAGCGGCATGCTCCTTTAAAGCGGACAGCCGAGATGGCAATTTGTAGTTACACAGTATGGATCATCTTTAGCTTTGGAGATGAAAGTAAAGGATCTTGCTCCCACTCCGCTCTATACGTCCTTTCATATTTACGCTTCATCACCTCCACCTATAACTACTATCGTCCACGAAATATTATTAACAAGATATCGCTAACATGATATTATTATCATGAAATCTAATGCGATACCAAACTAAAGTACGTCTCGTCTATGACTGATTGAAATTTTAACCATAATTTCGTGTTTATGAATACTCGTTTTAAAATTATCAACTTTACACACAAACTTTTAAAGTTGTTTACAAACATAATACGATAATTACAGGAAAATCCCCCACATGCTAGCGAAGTATCTAGGGTTGTCATTTTCGGCATTTTAAGTAGCCATTATGAAATCTATTTTTAATAAGTACCCAAATACTGCCAGGTTTTATAAAACGTCAACCGATCATGCCAGAGGCTAAAATAAGAAGCCAATCCTGCCAAAATGCCAGGAACCTGTCACATATGGTCACACTGACGGCACGAACGGCGCGTACAGTGCTGGCAAATGTGCGTGCAGCTTTAAGCTGTAATTGTTACTTTAAAAACCGCATTTGAATTTAATGTGATATTTCATTTTATGTTCATTGTTACAATTTTTTACATTAGGATAAAATAATAGGTAGCTTTTAATAACATTTTTACTTTACATTTATATACAATATGAATATTTAAGTATTTGTTTTCACTTTATTTTTAAACTTATAATATAATTCTCTAGGGTATAACATAACTCATAATAATTTTATAATTGTAATATTAAGTGCAATTTTGCACTTTTAATTTTCTTTTCTAATTCCTTTGCTATGAAGTACTTTAAGATCAAAGTAGCCTTTTCATGTGCTGATACTGTGAAATGTTCATTTAATTGTAAGAATGCTTTGGCTTTACGAAAAAAGCTCGCTCTAGCGTTCATAATTGAACACAGAACATTTTGTCCTTGGCAATGTAATAAACGTTCAAATTGAAGACAAATTGAGCAATAAATTTTAACAAGCAAGTTAGCATTTTTATGAGGAAAAAAATAAAATTGGCGTCTATTTAAATTGTATACAGATTTTGTCACATATTTCATTAGAGTAAACAGAATCTACTAGTTAGTCTGTGATAGTAAAGCCGTCGTACCTAAATATCTTATTGTACATAACAAGTACTTATTTCCTTATGCTAGTCACGTTTATTAATAACATTATTTACATAACACAATAACAAAACGATTTATCGTTTTAACACTTAATAATTTAACGTAAGCGTAGACCCAAAACTTTATTTAATATATAACACAGCCAAAGCTTTTAACGGCTTAACTTTTAAACCAGGGTTTATCGGCCCTGTTCTAAACTTTCTTCAGTTGCTGATTTCCAAATTTTTGTTTTACAATTAACTTTGTTTCATTCAGAATGTGATAAAGTTTGATAACAATTAAATAAACCTCGTACGATATATTATTTTTTTCGTTACGAGGTCCATTTTTTCCATCCCTTAGAATAGGTACTATACTTTTTACATGGTGCCAAGTAAGTATTTTATTTCAAAAGTTCACGTTTTATCTACAATAAAATTCAATGAGAAGTGCTTGTCCAAGGGTCACTGATCTTTTTCTACGGGCGCTTCTGCTCGAAAACCGTGCTCCGGATCAGCGTCGTAGTTTACGACTCTCAACTTGCCGTTTCTGTCCATATAACCGTAATGACCCCGAACATGACCGTCATTATCGCGTTCCTCGTACCGAAATTGTCGATTTTTGCTGAAATAATAGGTATTTATTGAGTATTACAACAATAGTTTCTGATTTTTTTCTACACAAAGTGCGTAAGTTGAGCAGTATTGTTCAGAAGTTTTCATAGTGTTATTCCTTACCTACAAAAGTTTGATATCTTGTGTTCGAATTGGAATTCTAAATTTAAATGAATGATATTGCCTATATACTAAATTTTTAAATTGTTTCCAGCAGTTTTGTAGTTGTGCTTGCGAGCCGATGTGACCTTAGGAAAATTGTAAATTTTCGAACAAGAGTTCTCTCGAGGCACCAATAATGTACAGACGGTACGCAGCGTTCACTATAATGTATGGACCAGTAGCAAAAGAATGCACAGTATGTTTTCAATTTGATGGCTTCCGTCTTGGAAATTTCGTCATCAATATGGAACCGAGTTGGCAACCAGATACTTAAGGAATGAAAGGCTAAGAACGAATTTAACTCAAATAATGTCAAAGTTATTTACAGTACAATCTTCACAAACACAGCCGTACATACGTACATAACCGACATTGAACAGAACATTATTAATTGTTTTGCGTGAAATTGGCTAAATAAAAAGATATATATATTATATTGAAGCTTGGCTAAATCTGTTGATCGTTACACGAATGAGGATTATCAGATGTGATGAGAAGTGGATTATGGTGACGGTCGTCGTGATCCGCGCATTACAGCCAAACTATGCTCTCCAAACGCAAATTGAGTC